CCAATGCCCAAAATGTTACTTTCAATCTACTCGAAGTCAAGGTCCCGGCGACCCGAGTTCATCAGCCCAATTTAGGTTCGATCCAAGGGATCGCAAAGGGTTCCGCGCAAGGCCATATTAATCGACCAAAGGCTAGAAGGAATACTCGCACCCGGGTTAGGTACTAGCAATAACAGACAGGGTCGTGCACTCAGAATCCCTACAAACGCAATAGAATATAGCAAGCATCAAAGATAAAATTGAGGAAATATCTTTGTATTCATGAATATTCAGTTACAAAAGCCCGCGAGGGATCCTTATATATGATTACAAAATCCCACAAGGGGTCCTTACACGAAAATAAAGAAGCAAGAAGGTGTACATATAATAAAAGCCTAAGAACCTAGCCTATTCTCAAAGGTACGTCCTCGATAGCAACATTTTTGGGCATCTTCTCATCAGGCATGCGTCCTCAAAGACAATATCTTCCAAACATAACCCCCTCGGGAGTCTTATCTAGATTCCCCAAAATGGCATCTTCAAAAGGGGAGACGATGAAGAGGAAAGTGATGGAGAAGAGCAAAGTGGCGCGGGAAAGGCAGGAAGGAACGAAGAAGTGGTTGGGTGAAAAACCTGGCTACTATGGATTTTGCCAGGATATTATTGTAAAGCCACTTCTTGAGACGTTACCCGGTGCGAGATGTGACAGTTAGTAGATAGTACTACCTCACTCCATGGAAATTGAAGGGAGCAAGGTGACGCACCGAATAATAAGGGGAGGTGAGTAGCGGTGTATAGTATGAGCCCCCTCTTGAGTAGCGATGTATAATTCAAATATTTCCTCGGGTCAGAGGAAATCAGCCCTCTATTTCGTCGTCTCGAGCCAATGATGACAGCAACAACAACAACAAAACAACGTAATCTCGCTCGACCAAAGAAGGGTTGGGAGATAGGCTGCGGGATGCCTGATAGAAGTACCGCCATACAATCTTGAGGCCATGGGCCTCAAACATGGTGAACGACATAGAATAAAGATAGCAAGAAAGGAAGAATGGATAGACACGGGAAGATACTTGGGTAAAACGCTGACCCGGGAGTCCTCATTTATAGAAAGGGGGGCAACGTAACCAATGGAACCATTACCACCCTCAAAACACGTAACGACGGGCATATTTAATGCATCCCTGGGAGCTGAATCGACAACGACATTATGACTTTGGAAAATGAGAAACTGTAATACGTTGAATGATCTTGGAGAAGTGGAACGATGGAAAGTTTCGATGATCATAGAGGCTTGCATCATCGGTATGATGTCATCATGAGAAGTCCGAAGAGTTGGATGTCAAAATCATTTCTTGTCGCTCCTCTATAAGAAACACGAGGACTATTTGTATACGGCAAAATCAGAGGAACCAATTTCTCGCTAATAAGGCATCTCGGAAGATCACCTCGAAGTCTTGATACCACGGACCGAGTACCCTCCCTCGAGGTCTATCGGTGCCCGACCTGGGGATAACGTTAGCCGTAACCCCAAGGTCATGGGGGGTTCCGAAGAGTATAGCCGGGGCCGGCAAAATCTGTCAGGCTAGTCTAAAGCTAGTCTGAGCATGCATCTTGAAGTTAGCCAGCTGTCCCATCCTGGTTTCTTTATCATTAATGTATTTTGTACCACGTTGGAATTTCCCTTCCTCTATAAGGGGGATCCTTGGAACTTTGTAACCCCATGTTGCTCCCACTACTCCATAAAGAAATATAGAAAAATACTCTCTTTGCTCTCTCACATACTCTCTTGATATTATTGCTTTCATTTCTTATCTTCTTATTTGTTCATCATTTATTGCTTATCATTGGCCATAAGAGCCTTCATTGATTATTTCATATCTATTAGCCCTAACCCGATCACCCATGATAGCTCAAGTCCGATCCCTAAAATCGACCGGCTCGAGGCCCTGAATAGCTGACCTATCGGTTTGGTTATAACTTCCTCCTTAACTTTATTTCGTCTCTAAATTTCATATATTTAGCATCAACTGCTTAACAAACTAGCAGAAAAATAGATCACGTATTTTAGAGTCTCATCAATAAATTTAATTATTATTACCATTTTCACGGTAAACAGAACTCATATGCAAGCCTCACTAAAGCGGCCGACCTTCTATATCTGCGCCCCAAGCGTTGCATCTACAATCTCGTAGGTGCGGCCAATCCTTTCACAAATGTGCACCTCTTCGAGGCCTGACAATCTTGCAGGTGTGCCTTCGCACCCGCGTCCACCCCTCCATAAAAGTGAAAACTCTCAGATCACCTCAACTCCATAGAAGCAATAGACCATTCACACCTACTACCTAACACCTATGCCCCAAACTTATGCAGGTGCGATACACCAGAACCAGCATTACGAACTATTCTCAAATGGTGCGAAACCAATCCGAAAAACACCTGAGCCTCCGAGGACCCTGATAATAGCACGATAGGGGATTCACGAATTACTAAAGAAAAATCAGAAAATCAAGAAACGTGTGGAAGCTAAAAGAAAATAGGAAAAGTAAAAATTGACAGAAATTAAAGATAGATTGAATTCAAGAAAGAGTTTCTTGAATTCAAGAAGTCTATTCTTGAAGATGAATCCTAACAACAACAATTAGATAACGAAGAACTAATCGCCTTTGATAAAAAATTAAAAATAAGAGATAGATTGTGAAACCCGACTCTTTAAAATAACAAGAACAACAATAAGACTAAACTTATCACCTTTCTTGAATACCTATACGTGAACTATGATTCCAAATAGGGTTTAATCTTACCACCTTAAGTTGAGTCTTGAAGGTTGAAGAATAAATCCAAGCAACTTAGCACTAACTTGCACTCAACATCTAGAATACCTATGTACCCTTATTGGACATCAAGTAAGTCCTTTTTATCTTATAAAAACGTGATTTTATGTAGGACTTCATGGCGGCAAGTTTGGACACATTTTAGGTGACAAATTGGTCCAAAAAGTGGACTGACTAAAAAGGATGTCTCTTGGTATCCAATACTCCTCTTCTTGGCATAAATTTGGGCAATAAAATAAATTTAACACCTAGACAATTCACATCCTTTATCCTTGAGCTCTCCCTCCCAATTAACAACTTCTTTATTTATACTTGAAGTCTAATGACCTTATTTTGCAACTCTTTAGCTTGACATCTTGTTAAAGGCCCTCTTTGAGATTCTAAAGTTTCATCCTTTCCCTTGAAAAGATTTGCGCTTCCTAGGATGCTATCATTCTCCTATTCTTGAAGAAAATTAATCCTCGGGAAGAATAGCGTCTCTCTCTCTCTAACCTAACGTCTCCCTCTCTCCCTAACCTCTGCTAACGCCGGTGTAAGTTCGGCGACCTCCATCTTAGTCAGGTAGGTCCCCTCCTCCCTTATCTAACGTCTCCCCTACTTTTCTTCCCAACTTTTCCTTCCTGTCCTCCTCTTATTTCCTCTTTCTCCATCCCAGATCCGGTGGATCTACCCCTCCCCCCTTTTTTCTCCCCTTCTCTTTATCTCCCCCCTATTTTTTCCTCCTATTTCTTCCTCATCCACTATCCCTCTTCTCCTCAACCCTCATCTTCTTTCTCCTGCTTTTGTTTTTTTGTTTTTGTGTTTTTTTCTATTTCATTTTCTCTTTATCAACAGGTGTCTCCGTCGGGCAGCGACATTCTTCTTAGGCGGTTAGGCCTTCGTGGTCGTCTTTTGTCCTTTCCTGGTATGCTGTTGGTTGAATGTTTCGGCGTAGCAGCATCGATAGTGGATTTCTGCAAAAGGGAAATTTTTCGGTGAGCCTTTAGAGGAAAGTGAGGCCCAGACACGGGCAATTGGAGGCGAGCAGTGTGTAGGCAGTTTCAGACTATAGATGCTGTTGGTCAATGCTATTTTGGCATCCGTAGACCTTCTAAGTTCTATTATTCCTGCTTCATATTGGTATCTTGCATGTTCCTAGCTTTGTTACATGTCTTTTACCCTTGACTATTGCATTAGTTGCCTGTCTTTGTTGCATGTTTACTCTTGGCCATTAGTTGAGTCATTGTACCTCTTGTGTGATTGACAAAAAAAATTAGTCTACATTGAAGCTTTTCAACTTGTCTGTATTTGCGTTAGTTTTAATCATAATTTTTAGTCTGTAGTTTCATTGTTGGTGGGGTGTCTAGTCGAAATGATGGTAGAGTAGTGTCATGTCTTCGGGTGGGCCAGGGGGTAGGGTCAAGAGTGGTAGGGGTAAGGGATCCAGTAGGCTTAGAATGGGGTCGTGGAACATAGAGACACTGATGGGTAAGTCTATAGGGTTAGGGAAGATTCTTCATAAGAGGAGGATTAATATAGCATGCGTTCAAGAGATTAGATGGAAGGGTACGGGGGCATAAGTTTAAGCTATGGTATTCAGGAGGAGCAGGGCAAGAACAGGGTAGGTATTTTAGTTGATAGGGATCATAGGGAGATGGTGGTGGATGTTATGAGGGTGAACGATAGGCTAATGACTATTAAGCTTGTGGTTGGTAGGGTCACTTTTAACTTGATTAATGCTTACGCGCCTCAGGTGGCCTGGATGAGGAGGTCAAAATGAGCTTCTGGGATGATTTGGATCAGGTTGTGCGTGGTATTCCACACTCCGACAAGCTCGTCATTGGGGGTGATTTTAATGCCCATATTGGGGTGACTACTAGGGGTTATAACAAGGTGTATGGTGGGTTTTGGTTTTGGATTTAGGAAAGAGGGAGGTACCTCTTTGTTGGATTTTGCTAAAGCATTTGACTTGGTGTTAGCTAATTCATGTTTCTAGAAGAGGGAGGAACACTTGGTCACTTTCCGGAGTAAGGTTGTCAGGACTCAGATTGATTACCTTCTCCTTAGGATGGGTAATAGGGGCATGTGCACTGATTGTGCGAGGACTCAGATTGATTACCTTCTCCTTAGGAGGGGTAATAAGGGCATGTGTACTAATTGCAAGGTTATCCCGAGTGAGTTCTGTTAACACAACATAGATTCCTGGTAATGGACTTGGAGGTCAAGAGAGTAAGGAAGAAAAGGGTGGTGTACAACCAACCAAAGATTAAATGTGGAGCCTTGACTAAGGCAAAGGCACAAGGGTTGAGGGAAACGTTGTTGGCCATGGGGGCCTGGAGGAATAGTGGGGACGTGAGTAGTATGTGGACCATGATAGCGAACTGCATTAGGGAAGTTGCTAGAGAGGTGTTAGGTGTGTCAAAGTGTTATTCGGGAGGCCACAAAGGGGACTGGTGGTGGAATGAGGAAGTCCAAGGAAAAGTGGAAGCTAAGAAAGAGGCATATCTTAAGCTAGTGGGGAGCACTGATAAGGAGGAGCAAAGGACGTGTATGGAGCGGTATAAGTTGGCAAGGAAAGAGGCAAAATTGGCAGTGATGACGGCTAAGACTGCATCTTTTGAGCGATTGTATAAGGATATTGGGGGCAAAAGAGGCGATAAAAATATGTACAAGTTAGCCAAGATCAGGGAGAGAAAGGCTTGGGACCTGGACCAAGTGTGGTGCATCAAAGACGAAGACAGCAGGGTTCTGGTGGAAGAGGCGGGTATTAAGCGTAGATGGTAGAATACTTTCATACACTCCTGAACGAGGTAGAGGACAGGAACATTGTACTAGGAGAGTTGGAAAACTCAAGGAGTCAGAGGGATTTTAGGTTTTGTAGGCGTATTAGAAGCAAGAAGGATGGTGGCCAATACGTAAGTTGACCAGGGGTAAGGCAACTGGGCCTGACGAGATCCTAGAAGAATTTTGGAAAAAGTAGGGCATGCATGCTTGGAATGGCTTATTGGGTTGTTTAATGTCATTTTCCAGGGGAAGAAGATGCCAGATGAGTGGTGGTGGAGTTTGATGATCCCTTTGTACAAGAACAAAGGTGATATTCAGGACTGCAACAACTATATGGTATCAAGCTGCTGAGACTATAAAAATTTAGGAGAGGGTGATGGAGAAGAGGGTGCGGCGTAGTGTTATTATTTCTGAGAACCAATTTAGGTTTATGTCGATAAGGTCTACTATAGAAGTCATTCACCTTGTGAGGATATTGGTGGAGCAGTATAGGAAAAGGAAGAAGAACTTGCATATGGTATCCATAGACTTGGAAAAGACTTATGCTAAAGTCTCGAGAGAGGTCCTATGGAGATTTATGGAGGTTAGCGGTGCCCCAGTGGCCTATATTATAGTGATTAAGGACATGTACAAGGGAGTGAAGACTCGGATTAGGACTGTGAAAAGAGACTTGAATCATTTTCCGGTGGAGATGGGTTGCATCAGGGATCAGCTCTTAGCCCATTTTTTTGCCTTAGCGTTAGAGGCGCTGACTTGACACATACAAGGGGAGGTACCATGGTGTATGTTATTCGCTGACGACATAGTCATGATTGATGAGACGTGTGGTTGAGTTAATGCTAGGTTGGAAGTTTGGAGAGAGATGCTCGAGTCTAAGGGTTTTAAGTTGAGTAGGTCGAAAATTGAGTACTTGGAGTGCAAGTTCAGCGATGGGATGCACGAAGAAGGAGTAGAAGTGAAGATTGATACTCAAGTCGTCCCCAAAAGAGATAGTTTCAAGTATCTTGGGTCGATTATTATCACGACCCTAAAACTAATCCGATCATGATGGCTCCTATCGTGAAACTAGGCCAATCGACACAAACCCAAAATTAACCAGAAAATCATAAGAAGTCATTTTAAACCATTAATAAACTAAAATCCCATAATATAAGTTTAAACAAGCAGTGCGGAAATATAACACAAGCCTGACATTGGGGTGTCACCAGTCATAAGCTACTACAAACTTGTCTAGGAATGAGAAAGGACAACATAGTCCGAAAATAAAATACTAAGACAATCTGAATAATATAGGAAGGAGAAGCACATGGTTGCGAACGCCAAGTAGCTACCTAGTCAACTCCGGAGACCTGCTGGAACACTGTTCAACACTCATTATCACGTCCCGAGACTCCTAGATCTACACACAAGGTGCAAGGAGTAATATGAGTATGCCAACACAGTAAGTAATAAAAGTAAAAGCAGCAGAGCAATAAGAAAACAGGTAATTTCACATCATAGCACTACGGCAAAATAGTATATGTCCAGAATAATACAATAAATCAATAAACTCGTAAAAATAACTCAGTTTAGTAAAACCTTTTTAAAACATCTTTCAAAAGTTTCAAACGAGTTATGAAAATAGTGAGTAAAATGATAGAAACATAACCAGCCCCTCGGGCAAAATATCAAAAGAACTAACCCTTAGGGCTACCTCACAATCACTCGTAATCAGCCCCTCGGGTAATAACATGAAACAACAACAACCCCTCGGGCAATATCACATCTCTCACACTGGGTAGCCGCGCTCACTGGGGGTGTTCAGACTCCGGGGGGCTCCAACAAGCCAAGAGCTATCACAAGCCATCTCGTGGAATAACAAATCAAGCCCTTGGCCCCTCATATATCACAAATCAGTACAATATACTGCGACGTGCAGCCCGATCCCATAATATCCTCACAATACAGGCCCTCGGCCTCACTCAGTCAGAAACTTCTCAAGCCACTCGGGCAACAGTAAAACATGATGCTTAACCCAAAATATCATTTAAAATATCAAAACAGAGTAAACATGGTTGAGTTATGAAAGTAGTAGAATACAGAATGACTGAGTACAGATATTGAGTCAAAATAGTGAGGAATAGTAATAAAAATCCCCTAAGGGTCCAAAACAGTTGGCACGGGGCCCAAATATGCATTCAGCCCAAAGCATAGTAATACTTTCCAAAAACACAATGATACCAAACAGTTTTCAATAAAATATGCGACTTAACAATCGTACGGGGCGGACCAAGTCACAATCCCCAACGGTGAACGACCCACGCTCGTCATCTAGCATGTGTGTCACCTCAAAGTAGCACAACGATGTGAAATCCGGGGTTTCATACCCTCAGGACAACATTTACAATCATTGCTTACCTCAATCCGATGCAAACTCTAGCCCGCGATTCCTTTGCCCCTCGAATTGGCCTCCAATTGCTTCGAATCTAACCAAAATCAGTTTCACATCATTAATACACGCTAAAGGAACAAAACCTAAGCAAAAATAATCGAATTAACTAAAAAATCCCGAAATCGACCAAACCCCGACCTCGGGCCCACGTCTCGGAATCCGATAAAAATCATAACAACAGGACACTTATCCTCCCATGAGTCCATACATACCAAAAACATAAAAATCAGACCTCAAATGGCCCCTCAAATCCCTAATCAAAACTCTCCAATTACAAGCCCTAGTTCCCCAATTTTAGGCTTTAAATCCCACTAATTTCATGTCTAATTAGATTGAAATCACCATAGAATCGAGTATTGAGTTCAAAAATCTTACCTCCAAGTGTTTCCTTTGAATCCCTCTTCAATCTCTGTCGAAAAGCTTCAAAACCGCTCAACAATGGAGGAAATGGGATAAAAATCGCGAAAATGTGTTTTTATACATTCTGCCCAGGTATTATTTCCTTCTTCGCGAATGCGGTCAAAGCCTCGCGTTTGCGAAGAACAAAAAATTCACTGGTCAAAATCCTCTTACACAAACATGAACTCCACATCGCGAACGCAAAGCTTTAGCTGCCCAAGCCTTCACGAACGCGGCCCTTCCTACGCAAACGTGATGAACAACTACCAGGGACCCAGATGCTCCAACTTCCCTACGCGAACGCGGGACTTACATCGCGTTCGCGATACACACTTTACCTCACCCTTCGCGAACGTGAAACCAACATCACAAATATGAAGAGTAATTCACCTGCCTCACTATACATCTCTTTGCGAACACGAGAGCCCTCTCGCGAACGTGAAGGACATATATCTACAACAGAAACCTGAAGAAATTTGCAAATTTCCAAATCAAGAATTTGATCCGTTAACCTCCCAAAACTCACCCGAGGCCCTCAGGACCTCAATCAAATATTCCAACACATTCCACAACATTGTTCAAACTTGTTCCAACCTTTGGAATACTCAAAACAATATCAAAGCATCAAATCACCCTCGGATTCAAGCCTAAGAACTTATAAACTTTCAAATTCCGCAAGCTATCAAAAAGTCTATCAAACCTCGTTCGAATGACTTGAAATTGTGCACACACATCCAAAATAACACAACGGACCTACTCCAATTTCCAGAATTCCATTCCGACCCCGATATCAAAATTTCCACTACCAACCGAAAAACGCCAAAATTCCAATTTCGCCAATTCAAGCCTAAATCTGCCCCGGACCTCCCAAATATATTTAAATAATTCTCCTAAGTCCTAAATCACCTAACAAAGCTATCTAAACTATCAGAATTCACATCCGAAATTTTTTTCACATAAGTCAATATCTGTTTGACTTTTCCAATTTAAGCTTACTCAAAAGAGACTAACTGCCTCATTCCTTTCCAGAACCACTCCAAACCAGAACCAACAAACCCGACATCACATAATATATTTGAACAAGACATAAAGAAGCATAAATGGGGGAAACGAAGTGGTAACTCATGGAACGATCGGTAGTGTCATTACAATTATTCAAGGCAACAAGGAGATTGATGAGGATGTTACCCATCGTATTGGTGCGGGGTGGTTGAGGTGGAATCTCACCTCAGGGTTTTTGCGTGATAAGATTGTTCCACCTGGACTTAAGGGCAAGTTCTACAGAGTGGTAGTTAGACCGGCTATGTTATATAGGGCTGAGTGTTGGCCCGTCAAGAAGTCCCATGTCCAGAAAATGAAAGTAGTTGAGATGAGGATGTTGAGATGGATGTGTGGTCATACCAGGAAGGGAAAGATCAACAATGAAGATATTAGGGACAAGATAGGAGTGGCATCTGTGGAGGACAAGTTGTAGGAGTCGAGTCTGAGATAGTTCGGGAATATGAAGAGGAGAGACTTAGATGCCCCGGTCATGAGGTGTGAGAGGTTGTCCATTGCGGGTCTGAGGAAAGGTAGGGGTAGGCCTAAGAAGTATTAGGGAGAGGTATTTAGGTAGGACATGTTATTGCTCCAGCTTACCGAGGATATGACCCACGATAAAAAGATTTGGAGATCGAGGGTTAGGGTTGTAGGTTGATAGTTAGTAGTGTGTTCCACCTAGACTTACCAGTAGTATTAGGAATATTTTTATGTTAACTTATTCATGATTCTTTACTATTGCATATTGTGTCATTCGTGCTTGTTACCTTAATGTATTGTAGTTACTATTGTTTGCTACATGTTGCCTTATCTCCAATATTCTTTGAGCGGAGGGTCTATCAGAAATAATTTCTATATCTTTATAAGGTAGGGGTATGATCTGCGTACACAGTACCCTCCCCAGACCCCATTTATTGGAATACACTGGGGTCGTTGTTGTTGTTGTTGTTGTTATCATGAAAAAGAAGTCACGCACTAGTAAATGGAATCCACTAATTTGAAAAAATGGTAGGAATAAAATAAGATAGTGACCATGTGTCCACTTAACCCAATTAAACCTAACATTTGTAAATACTCACTTTTAAAGCATATGGACATCATCATCCCAATAAAATTTATGCCTACTTAGATTTGTCCAATAAAACCTCTCTTAGATGCACTATGTAATGAACTTAATGTGATCTTGTCAATAAGATAGTCCAAACATGTGCATGAAAAAGAAATTACAAAAGATTGACCATGCATCCATTTAATACAAGCATCTCTACCACATTTATCAAATAAGGCACTTTTATGATATAGACAAGTACCTACGATTACAAATCCCATGGATTCTTCTATATATAAATTATTCAAAGATGCACATAAATTCTCAAGAAGGTTAGAAGAACCCATAACTCCCAAAATAAAAGTTTCAATACATTCAAGATCATGGTTATAACTTTTCCCAATAGTATTTCCAACATCAAGGGATTCTAAACAATTGCTCAAATTGTCACAACAAGAATCATAGATAGTTTCATGAATGAGTATGCGACTACTAGCGTGACAATAATCTAGCATATCCTCTTTACTAGTAGCAAACACTTTTATAAGCTCCCAATAAACTTTACTTGAAGAATTACTCCCCATCACAGAACAAAAATTACATTTTAGCAATTTATCATATGAAAACTTATTAGAGACTTGAATAAGAGAAGAAGAAACATTTAACTCATTCGCAAGCCACTTCTCATAAATTTCATGACTCTTCCTACCAAGTTGGAAATCAAAATCAACTATGTCATACTCAATTTAAAAAGAAAGTAAATTACTTTTGCACATGAACTTAGACACTACAGTTAATGACTTGATATGCATCAAAATATCATCATCCACAAAAATTATAA